TGATATTATCATATGGTTTTTATATTTCTTTTTGTTGATGTGTTGGATAACGTTGATTGATTTTCGGATGTTAAACCATCCTTGTGCCCCTGGAATGAATCCAACTTGGTCGTGGTGAATTATCTTATGGATACATTGTTGGATTCTGATAGCTAAAATTTTATTGAGGATTTTTGCATCAGTGTTCATTAGGGAGATTGGCCTATAGTTTTCCTTTTTTGTGTTGTCCTTATTCGGTTTTGGTATTAGTGTAATATTGGCTTCATAGAACGTGTTTGGTATTGTCCCTTCCTTCTCAATTTTTTGGAAGAGTTTGTGAAGGATAGGCACTAATTCGTCTCTGAATGTTTGGTAGAATTCATTTGTAAATCCATCAGGTCCTGGGCTTTTGTTTTTGGGGAGGTTTTTAATTACCATTTCAATTTCGCTGCTTGTAATTGGTCTGTTTAGGTGTTCTATTTCTTCTTTATCTAGCTTTGGGTGATTGTAGAGTTGTAGGAATTTGTCCATCTCCTCTAGATTGTTGAACTTGTTTCCATATAACTGTTCATAGTAGTTACTGATTATTCTTTTGATTTCTGCTGTGTCCGTTGTGATTTCTCCTCTTTCATTTATGATTCTGTGTATTTGTGCTTTCTCCCTTTTTTCCTTTGTGAGCCTGGCTAGGGGTTTGTCTATTTTATTTATTTTTTCAAAGAACCAGCTCTTGGTTTCATTGATCTTTTGGATTGTTTTTTTAGTTTCAATTTCATTTATTTCTGCTTTGGTTTTTATTATTTCTTTTCTTCTACTGGTTCTGGGGTTTTTTTGTTGTTCTTTTTCTAGATCTTTGAGCTTCGAGATTAGGTTGTTTCTTTGAGTTCTTTCTTGTTTTTTGATGTGAGCTTCTATTGCTATATATTTTCCTCTTATTACTGCTTTTGCTGCATCCCATACATTTAGGATATTGGTGTCCTCCTTGTCATTCAATTCAAAGAATTTTTTAATTTCTTCTTTGATCTCCTCGTTAGTCCAGTGGTCTTCCAGTAGTGTGGCTTTTAATCTCCATGAGGTAGGATAGTTCCTTGCCTTCTTTTTATGATTTATTTCTAGTTTGATGCCTTCGTGGTCAGAAAAGATGGTTGGTATGATTTCAATCTTGGTGTATCTGTTGATGTTTGTCTTGTGCCCCAGTATGTGATCGATCCTGGAGAATGATCCGTGTGCGCTTGAGAAAAATGTGTACTCCGTTTTTTTGGGGTTAGTGTTCTATAGATGTCTGTTAAGCCCAAATGCTCTAGGTCCTTATTTAGAGCTTTAGTTTCTTTACTTATTTTTTGTCTTGTTGATCTATCCATTGTTGATAGTGGTGTGTTGAAGTCTCCCACTACATATGTGTTTTCTCTGATGTCTGTTTTCAGAGAGGACAACAGTTGTCTGATATATTTTGGTGCTCTTTCGTTTGGTGAGTATATGTTAATGAGTGTTATTTCTTCTTGAAGTATTGTCCCCTTAATCATAATGTAGTGACCATTGGGGTCTCTTTTTATTTTTTTGAGTTTGAAATCTGTTTTATCTGATATAAGTATAGCTGTTCCTGCTTTCTTTTTTGGCCCATTTGCTTGTAGGATTGTTTTCCATCCTTTGACTTTGAGCCTATTTTTATCTTTTGTAGCTAAATGTGTTTCCTGGAGACAGCAAAAGGTTGGGTTTTGTTTCTTAATCCAGGCTGCAACTCTGTGTCTTTTTATTGAAGAGTTTAGTCCATTTACATTTAGAGTTAATATTGATATGTTAGCATCTGTATTTGCCATTATGTTTGTCTTTCCTTTGATTTTATTTATTTATTCTTTTAATAACTTTTTTTTTTTTTTTGGTCTTCTTTCGTTGTTATTCGTCCCTCTGAGGTTCTGGCTTTAGGATTCCTTGTAGTATTTTTTGGAGTGGGGGTTTAGTCGCAATGAAATTCCGGAGTTTCTCTTTGTCTGGGAAGGTCCATATTCTTTCTTCATGGAGGAAAGAGAGCTTTGCGGATAGAGTATTCTTGGTTGGCATCTGTTTTCTTGGAGTCTGTTGACTATGTCCCTCCACTCTCTCCTTGCCCGTAGTGTTTCTTCAGAGAAGTCTGATGTCAGCCTGATTGGTTTTCCTTTGAATGTTATCTGTTTCTTCCCTCTTGTCAGCTTCATTATTTTTTCCTTGTCCTGGATTCTTGGGAGCTTTACTATTATGTGTCTTGCTGTGTTTTTCCTTTCGTCGTGGAAGTTTGGTGTTCTTCTTGCTTCTTGTATATCAATTTTCAGCTCCTTCTTCTCATTTGGGAAGTTCTCTTCAATTATATCCATGAATATTTTCTCTGTTCCTACATCTCTCTCCTCTCCTTCTGGAATTCCTATAACTCTTATATTTCCTTTCCTCATGGAGTCAGATAGTTCCCGAAGTCTTTCTTCATTCTTTTTCCTTCGTACTTCTCTTTCCTTTTCTGTTTTGGTTCTTTTTATTTCTGTGTCTTCAAGATTACTTATTCGTTCTTCCATTTCATCTATTCTGCTTTCATTGCTTTTCCCAGAGTTCTTTAGTTCCTCCATTAATTCTTTGATCTCCTGCATTTCTCTTACTTCCCTCTTTAGGGACTCAATTTCCTTCTTCTGATCTATCACTTTTTTAATCATGGCAATTTTAAATTCTCTTTCTGGAAGGCTCAGAAGTTCTTCCAAGTTGCTGTCGTTGCAATCTGGGGAGTGGTTTTCTTTTTGTGGTGTGCTTCTTTCCTGAGGAGTTTTTAGGTTGCGTGTGGTTCTTCTACTCCCTACTGTCTGTTTTCTAATTTGTCGTATGCGTTGGGACACTGTGTTGCTCGGACTGACTGACATCTTGGGTGAACTTCTCCGCTCCCCTCTGGCTCTTCCAGGAGCCATCTCTGTCTTCTGGGGGAGCTTTCTGCTGGTTTTAGGCAGTTTTTACTGAAGAAATGTCCCTGTTCTCAAATGGCGAAGCGGGATGCAGTCCCTGCGCCTCCGGTTTCAGGCACACTCTTCTGCGCACCCGGTCTGCCCCGGACGTGGGTGCCTGCTCCCTCTGTGGGCTCAGACTGCTGGTCGGAAGGGGCCTGGCGTGGAATAACTTCCCGGCTGGCCACTGGGTCCTCCAGAAACCTTCTGCCCTTTTCAAGCAGACTTAAGAAATGTCCTGTTTTATAGGGTGTTAGTGACTTTTTTTTTCCTGGTCGCTAGGTGGCGCCAGAGATCTCTCCTATTGTCCTTGGGGGCTGTTTTTCGCCTCCCCCCACCCCGTGGGACAGAGAACAGAGCGGGAATGGTAGGGTACACCTCAACAGCTTTGGGGTGCTGTGTCTGCCTTGTGCCCCACCGTCGTGGAGAAACCACGCCCCGAATTTTCGTGCCCCGGGTCTCAGTTCAAAGCCCTCAGGTCCAGGACGCGGGCTGTAGCCCAGTTCAGTGGCGCGGGAATGGCGCCTTTTGCACCCGGCTCCAGTGCCTGGGCGCCTGGTTCCTGCTTACTCAGGGAGGGACCTTCACCTCAGTGAGGACCTCCGTGCGTCTCCCCGCAAGCCTAGGTCGTCTCCCCGCAAGCCTAGGTCGCAGGCGCGGGGACCTGGGCAGCCGCGATCCCGGTCTGCACTTGCTTTTCAAGCGCGCCAGGCGCGCCGCGTTTCCCGCTCAGGCTTACCGGCAGCCCGGGCTGTGTGCACGTCTCCCGGGGTCTTTGTTCTTCTCTAATGGCGCCCGGAGCCGTTCGCTCACCGCCGCGGCGGATCCTGCAGGGTTCGCCTCAGCTCCCGTTCACGGGGTGTGGTGGCTGCAATAGTTCCTTTCCGCTCACAGTCCCGCTTGCTGCGTCGTTTGTTCTTGTTGGTTGTTTTGGTTTATTGTTTCCTCCTCTCTGCCGGTCGGAGAGTGCCGCCTCTGTGGGCGGGGGAGGGGAGCAGGGTTCTGCGCTTCCCTCCCTTCTAGTCCTCTTTTATGGCCACTTTCTTCTTCGGGCAGTTCGCTGGCGTCACCCGTTTATCTTCCGTGTCCCAGTTCTCACTGGGACCTGCCGCTTTTCCTCCCTATTCACTTTTTTTAATGGGAGATCTTACTCGCAGCGTCTCCTCGCCGCCATGTTGCTCCGCCCCCACATCAAATCTTGTCATTTTTGACAACATGAATGAGCCTTGAAGGGTTTAAACTATGTGAAATAAGTCAGGAGAAACATTAAAACCATAAAATTTTTCTCCTTTGTAGAATACAAAGAAAAAATAAACCAAAACAAACCCTTAGACTCTGACAACAAGATGGAGATGACCAGAGGGAAGGAAGGAGAGGGTACAGATAGAGGGGACTGACTGGTTGATGATGGATGGTGACTGGACATTGTGGGCATGGTGTGACATACAGTGTTTCTGAGTGAGATGCTGCATGCCCAAAACCTATGCAGTGTTTTATTTTTTTTTTTTAATCTTAAATTTTATTTTTATATTCCCCCATACAATTGCAAACGCCCCATTCTGACCCCAATCCTTCCCCTCCCGCCCCCCCCCCAAAAAGTGTCTCTGGTTCATAGTTTTTTGTTGATTTTGATTTTCACTTTCTTATATTCATTTTCCTGGTCCCTTATTTAAGTTTTCTAGATTCCTGCTATGAGTGAGACCATCCGGTATTTTTCTTTTTCTTTTTGGCTTATTTCGCTGAGCATGATCCCTTCCAGCGCCATCCATGTTGCTGCAAATTGCATGTGTTTATCTTTTTTGAATGCTGAGTAATATTCCATGGTATATATGTACCACATCTTCTTGATCCAGTCATCTACTTTTGGGCATTTGGGTTGTTTCCAAAGCTTAGCTATTGTAAACAGTGCTGCTATAAACATAGGGGTGCAGGTGCTCTTTGGAATTGATGTTTCTGTGTCCTTTGGGTAAATACCTAGGAGTGGAATTGCTGGATCATATGGAAGCTCTATGTTTAGTAGGTCCAGAAATCTCCACACAGCTCTCCATAGTGGTTGGACCAGTTTGCACTCCCACCAACAGTGCAGAAGAGTTCCTTTTTCTCCACATCCTCGCCAACATTTGTTGTTGCTAGTTTTTTTAATATGTGCCATTCTCACTGGTGTGAGATGGTATCTCATGGTAGTTTTGATTTCTATGCAGTGTTTTAAACTAAGTTACCTCAACAAATAATAAATAAAATCCCAGTTGAAACTTCTGTTTCCATTAGTAGCAATTATTTGGATTAAACTTCCAGTTTTTTACAAACAACTTTCAAATATGGATAATTTTCCAATTTCTTAAATGACCCAAAAAGACAGCAAAGAAGTATAAAGACATTGCTGTGTAACAAAAGAAAAATGCTATGGTTTATAAAAGAGCTCCCCTGGGAAAACTGCCGGGCCAGCAATAGCAGAGGCCTGAGTCAGCAAAAAGAAAACAAAGAGTTTGCTGTGACGAAGCCATGCAGTCAAAATGCATGGAGGATCGATCCCACATACCATGTCCACCCCCCTATCATTTTGCGTGACTGTAGGAAGGAATCAGAGGTAAGTCCCTCACTGCCCAGCAAGCCGTCACATGGCAGAAGCACTCTTTCAGATACAAAGAAATCTTTATAAATTTCAGTTCTTAATGCTTTCCCACACACAGATGTCCGACCCTTCAGAGTAAGAGATCACTTTTTATATTGCTTGTCTCTTTTACAGAGGAATTGTGTATCACCTTCTGTGCACACAGACCACAAATATTAATACACAGAATGTGTATTAATGAAACCAAAACCTCTGAAGGGCAGGAACAGCGCCCAGAGAAATCTGAAAGCTGTATCTCTGGGTCTGTGTCCTCAGGTTTGCTCTGAAAGTATCTCTTTAATAAACTTCTCTTTGAAGTACTTCACAGCAGTGATATTTCAGCCAACACTACTCAAATAAAGAGAAACCTAGGGATAAAATAAATATGAATGACATTTTTGGCCTGGAGAATTTCTCAAGTCAAGAAAATGTGAGACTAATGTGATGGCTTCATGGTGGGGGAGAAAACCAAAGCCCAGGGTGATATAAGCATGGGAAATTGTAAAATATCCACATAAGAGGAAACCTCGAAAAACTATACCCCTCAGGGTAAGAGTAAACTGGTGAAGGAACCTGCAAGTGTGAGTTCAGCTTGAATTTAATCTGCCTCAGTGACGCTGGGCACCACAAGCTTTGAGCTTGGTTGAAAATAATCCTCAACCAGCAGGACTCAAGGAATCATCTTATATAAGAAGGTGCCTTCTTCAAATTCTACAATTATTATTCCAAGTATGAAAGCCAACATCCAGGCAAAGATAACCCGATACATAAGACCACTGACCCTTATGAGTGAAAAACCAGCAAAAGTTACAGGCAGTATAACAATTATAGATATCATAATATCAGACACACTATAAAGCACAGGTGTATTAGTAAGTAAACAAAGCAACACAGTAATCACAGAAACATAGTGCAGGAATCTGAAATGAGAAAAAATTATGTAAATTAGGTGATGGAATCAATATTAGGAGATAGATGGTCAGAGCATAATGCCATTATGGGTCCTCCCCCATGACTCAGAGCCTCAAATGTGCCCTTAAAGTCCGTCCTTAAGCCAGTTGCCCCTCTTGCTCAAACACTTCCCATCGCTGCCTAATGCCCACAAATAAACATCAAGACAGGGTTTGGGTGCTGCAGGGGGCCTTGTTGCCCCAGCCACATAAGACACTGGCAAGCAGCTAAGTTAAAGGGCCTCACACCATGGGGCCGAGGTTAAAAGGCCTCACACCGTAGGGCTGAAGATTCCTTGTGCCTCACACCGTGGGGCTGAAGATCTAACATCCCTTTATTTTTTGTTCTTGGTCGTAAAAAGAGAAAAATTTCCCAGAAAGTACATTAGGCAATAAATTATATGCATCAGTATACTGCAAATAAACGACACAGAAAATTATCTGTTTAGAAATTATTAAACAATTTGGCCCACTTGTCAATGGGAGACAATTTATTGTACATGCCTGACAAGCAATCCAGTGCAACAATTATAGTAAATCCTTCTTTTGCTTTTTTAGAAGTTTCCCTTTTTTTTTTTAAAGAAGTTTCTTAGGAAAGTTTTTAAATGAAGTTAACTGTGTTAAGAAGTTTCTAGGTAGAAAAAGTTCTGATAGCTGAGTAGCAGCTGGTCTCCTGCTGAAGGCCATATGAATAGAATAGTCTTTTGATGCTTAAGCTTTAGCTGATAGGGATGTACTGGCGGCTATCCACTGTCTTAGGTAATTGTCTAGCTAAAATAATAAGTTTTAGTGTTAGGTTTGGCTTTTTTTTTTTTAAGTAGGTATTTTTCTCTAATATTTTTTCTTCTCACTATAATAGTTTTTACAACTTCCTTGAAATATTCTGGAGTGGAATGAGTGGCATAAGGAAAAATTGTGATGATAATTGATAAGATATGACCGAGGTGTGTTCTGGTGTTGATACTAGATTTATTTCCAGATTCTCAGCTCTATAGAAGGATTCTGTATATAAATGTGCTCATGAACTGTTAGATTTTTTTTCTCATTGCTACCAAATGAAGATAAATGCTATTGGTGAAAGAAAGCTTAACTACTTTTGAAATATAATCAAGAGTTAATAGTATAGAATAAAATCTGCACCTCCTAGTGTTCTGAAGTTTTTATCTATTAACCTTGAAGGCTGCCGTCTAGCTGAGACCCTAGGAGCCAGGAGTCCATGGGAGTAAAATACACTAATTGTTTCTGCTTTGCACATGATGATATAATTTTTCTGATTACTAAAAATGAATAATAAAGACCTGCTTAGTCTCTCTGCAGAAGAGATTTGCACCCCGTCCAGTATCAGTGTCTCCTCAATGCCCTTCCCTTCAGCCCCTAACGTGTCCCCTAGGCCGTGTCATCCTTTCAGGAACCCCTGACACGACATTTTGCGGAAGGCTGGTCCCCGGCATTTGGGCTCAGAGATACCAGCCACTCCCACCCTCTGGTTCCTGCCCGGACCCCCACGCCCTGCCGAGACTCTCGGTGAGTCCCGGACAGACGTGACAGCACTGTTTCATTCTTGGGAATCTACAGAGAAGTGTGTAAGGTCAGCGCGGATCCCAGGCTAGGCAGCAGGGAGTCACTGCGGGTCCTCGCTTAGGGGCTCCAAGCGCAGCCAAAGTCCGCCCTCTGCGCGCAGGATCAGCTCCGGCTTCCTGCGCGGCTCCTGCTCGTCCGGCAGCACGCGGAAGCGCAGCAAGGTGAGCGCCAGGACCACCTTCATCTCGGTCATGGCGAACGTCTGCCCTATGCAGTTCCTGCGGGAGGGATGGGTCTCTGACTACACCTGGGAGCCCCAGTTCCATCGCACTGGGAACCCGAGCCAGGACCCCCATCCCTGACTGCAGGGATAAAGGAGGCTAACTGTGCAGGGGAGCTCCATGTGAGCTTGCATCTCCACTGAGACCCACCGTCGACCGCACCACATCCCCACCTCAGACAGTCACTGGCCTCACCTGGGTCCTGCTGAGAAGGGAATAAAGGCCAAAGGAGACGTTTTCTGAGGTGTCTCTGGGTCGAAGCGGAAGGGATTATATACCTGGGCGCAAAGAGAGGCAGGACTAGGATGTGGGATTTCCCAGGACATCTATCCATACACCACCCTCAGATAAGACAGATGTAGATGCAATGGGAGGGTATTGTATGACTTCTCTGTCAGGACCTGCCCCCTCACAATATCTTGACGGGTAAGGGAGGAGAGACAGCACCTCAGGTTCTGGCCAGACAGATGGGTTGTGATGAATCCCGAAGATGCTGATGGCACAAATGTTTCCTATTAGGGAGGAGGGGGGGGGTCAGTATGAGGTACTGCTGATGGTACCACCACCCTCTGCCCCCTCATGTGGGCACCTTTGGGGATGACCCGGCCATCTGGGAGGACAACATCCTGCGTGGAGCTGCGGGAGATGACGGTGACCGGGGGGTGCAAGCGCAGACTCTCCTTGATGCACATGGTCAGGAATGGCAGCTGACCCAGGTCTTCCCTAAGGAATACAGGCAGACAGTTATACAAGGAGCAAATCAAAGACTCCTCCAGCCTTTCTGCTGTCCCATGAGACCATCTCCCTATCACCCTCTGACTCTCACTCCTTTAACAAAATTAATTCGACATACCCAAAACCTAAGCAATAGAAAATCAGTCACAAAAGTACTGCAGGAAAACTGGCATTTCTGAGAAAAACACAACACTCATTATATATAGGGTATCCTTAAAAATGTTAATACCTTTGCATTAAAAAATGCTATTCAGGGCCACCCTGCTAGCACAAGGGTTTAAGTCTCAACACCATGAATTATTGGAGCCATTGCAGCATGAGTTCAATCTCCGGCCACGGAGGTGACCCACATAGCGCAGCAGACTTCTCCTGTCTCACCTGCTGCGCCCCTCAGCAGTGTATTTCAGTAGATCCACCTGTTCTGCTCCCCACTCTGTCTCTGGTGAATCCTCTCACTCCCACCACTACACCTCTGGACTACACCCCAGCTGTTGTATGCATAAATAAATAAAATCTTTTAAAAATGCTTTTCAAATTACATATTGACAAGTAGCTAAAAATAGAACAAGAAAAATCTCTATAGGATTGGGCGGAGCAACATGGCGGCGAGGAGACGCTGCGAGTAAGATCTCCCATTAAAAAAAGTTAATAGGGAGGAAAAGCGGCAGGTCCCAGTGAGAACTGGGACACGGAAGATAAACGGACGACTCCAGCAAACTGCCCGAAGAAGAAAGTTGCCATAAAAGAGGACGAGAAGGGAGGGAAGCGCAGAACCCTGCTCCCCTCCCCCGCCCACAAAGTCGGCACTCTCCGACCGGCAGAGAGGAGGAAACAACAAACCAAAACGGCCAACAAGAAAAACAGACACAGCAAGCGGGACTGTGAGTGGAAAGGAACTATTGCAGCCACCACACCCCGTGAACGGGAGCTGAGGCGAACCCTGCAGGATCCGCCGCGGAGGTGAGCTCCAGGCGCCATTAAAGAGAGCCCCGCCCCCCAGGAGGAGACCAGCACCAGCACACAGCCCCGGCCGCCCGGTAAGCTTGCGCGGAAAGTGGCGCGGATCCAGACCGGATCGCAGCTGCCCAGGTCCCCGCGCCTGCGACCTAGGCTTGCGGGGAGACGGCGGAGGCCCTCCCTGAGTGAGCAGGAACAAGGCGCCCAGGCAGGGGAGCGGGATTCAAAAGGCGCCATTCCCACGCCACTGATCTGGGCTACAGCCCGCGTCCTGGAACTGAGGGCTTTGGAACTGAGACCCGGGGCACGAAATTAGGGGCGTGGGTTCCCCACGACGGTGGGGCACAAGGCAGACACAGCACCCCAAAGCCGTTGAGGTGTACCCTACCATCCCCGCTCTGCTCCCTGTCCCACGGGGTGGAAAATCAGCTCCCCAAGGGCTCTAGGAGAGATCTCTGGCGCCACCTAGCGACTTGACCCCAGCACAGGCTACTGAAGGAGCTAGTGGCCAGCTGGGGAGTTAGCCCACACCTGGCTCCTTCCGAACAAGTAGTCTGAGCCCACAGGGAGAGCGAGCACCTACAGCCGGGGCAGACCAGGCGCGCAGAAGAGTGTGCCTGAGACCAGACGCGCAGGGAGTGTGTCCCACATCACCATTTTAGAACAGGGACATTTCTTCAGTAAAGACTACCTGCCGAAGGCTTCCTCAGGAGCCAGAGGTGAGCGGGGGAAGTTCGCCCACGCCAGACCCCCTCTGGCCTGCAGTCCAAGCCCAGAGGGGAGCAGGAACCCACCGCCGGGGCAGACCAGGCGCACAGGGGAGTGTGTCCCCACATCGGCATTTTAGAACAGGGACCTTTCTCCATTAAAGGCTGCTTGAAACTGACAGATGACTCCTGGAAGAACCAGAGGGGAACAGAGAAGCCCACCCAAGATGCCGGCCAGTCCCAACAACACAGTGTCCCAACGCATACGGCAAATTAGAAAACAGACAGTAGGGAGGAGAAGAACCACACGCAACCTAGCAACTCTCCAGAGAAAAAGCACACCACAAAAAGAAAGCCAGCCCCCAGATTGCAAAGACAATAACTTGGAAGAATTTCTGAGCCTTCCAGAAAGAGAATTTAAAATTGCCGTGATTAAAAAACTGACAGAAGTCATAAAGGAAAACAATGATAAGGGGAAAATAATCAACGATCAGAAGAATGCAATTGAGTCCCTAGAGAGGGAAAACAATGGTCAGAAGAAAGAAATTGAGTCCCTAAAGAGGGAAGTAAAAGAAATGCAGGAGATCAAAGAATTAATGGAAGAACTAAAGAATTCTGGGAAAAGAAATGAAAGCAGAATAGATGAAATGGAAGAACGAATAAGTAATCTTGAAGACACAGAAATAAAAAGAACCAAAACAGAAAAGGAAAGAGAAGTACGAAGGAAAAAGAACGAAGAAAGACTTCGGGAACTATCTGACTCCATGAGGAAAGGAAATATAAGAGTTATAGGAATACCAGAAGGAGAGGAGAGAGATGTAGGAACAGAGAAAATATTCAAAGAGATAATTGAAGAGAACTTCCCAAATGTGAAGAAGGAGCTGAAAATTGATATACAAGAAGCAAGAAGAACACCAAACTTCCACGACAAAAGGAAAAATACAGCAAGACACATAATAGTAAAGCTCCCAAGAATCCAGGACAAGGAAAAAATAATGAAGCTGGCAAGAGGGAAGAAACAGATAACATTCAAAGGAAAACCAATCAGGCTGACATCAGACTTCTCCGAAGAAACACTACGGGCAAGGAGAGAGTGGAGGGACATAGTCAACAGACTCCAAGAAAACAGATGCCAACCAAGAATACTCTATCCCGCAAAGCTCTCCTTCCTCTTTGAAGAAAGAATATGGACCTTCCCAGACAAACAGAAACTCCGGAATTTCATTGCAACTAAACCCCCACTCCAAAAAATACTACAAGGAGTCCTAAAGCCAGAACCTCAGAGGGACGAATAACAATGAAAGAAGGCCAAAAAAAAAAAAAAAGTTATTAAAAGAATAAATAAATAAAATCAAAGGAAAGACAAACACAATGGCAAATACAGATGTTAACATATCAATATTAACTCTAAATGTAAATGGACTAAACTCTTCAATAAAAAGACACAGAGTGGCAGCCTGGATTAAGAAACAAAACCCAACCTTTTGCTATCTCCAGGAAACACATTTAGCTACAAAAGATAAAGATAGACTCAAAGTTAAAGGATGGAAAACAATCCTACAAGCAAATGGACCAAAAAAGAAAGCAGGAACAGCTATACTTATATCAGATAAAACAGATTTCAAACTCAAAAAGATAAAAAGAGACCCCAATGGTCACTACATTATGATCAAGGGGACAATACTTCAAGAAGAAATAACACTCATTAACACATACTCACCAAACGAAGGAGCACCAAAATATATCAGACAACTGTTGTCCTCTCTGAAAACAGACATCAGAGAAAACACATACGTAGTGGGAGACTTCAACACACCACTATCAACAATGGATAGATCAACAAGACAAAAAATAAGTAAAGAAACCAAAGCTCTAAATAAGGACCTAGAGCAATTAGGCTTAACAGACATCTATAGAACACTAAACCCCCAAAAAACGGAGTACACATTTTCTCAAGCGCACACGGATCATTCTCCAGGATCGATCACATACTGGGGCACAAGACAAACATCGACAGATACACCAAGATTGAAATCATATCAACCATCTTTTCTGACCATGAAGGCATCAAACTAGAAATAAACCATAAAAAGAAGGCAAGGAACTTTCCTACCTCATGGAGATTAAAAACCACACTACTGGAAGACCATTGGACTAATGAGGAGATCAAAGAAGAAATTAAAAAATTTTTTGAATTGAACGACAAGGAGGACACTAATATCCTAAATGTATGGGATGCAGCAAAAGCAGTAATAAGAGGAAAATATAGCAATAGAAGCTCACATCAAGAAACAAGAAAGAACGCAAAGAAACAACCTCATCTCGAAGCTCAAAGATCTAGAAAAAGAACAAAAAAAAGCCCCAAAACCAGTAGAAGAAAAGAAATAATAAAAACCAAAGCAGAAATAAATGAAATTGAAACTAAAAAAACAATCCAAAAGATCAATGAAACCAAGAGCTGGTTCTTTGAAAAAATAAATAAAATAGACAAACCCTAGCCAGGCTCACAAAGGAAAAAGGGAGAAAGCACAAATAAATAGGATCATCAATGAAAGAGGAGAAATCACAACGGACACAGCAGAAATCAAAAGAATAATCAGTAACTACTATGAACAGTTATATGGAAACAAGTTTAACAATCTAGAGGAGATGGACAAATTCCTACAACTCTACAATCACCCAAAGCTAGATAAAGAAGAAATAGAACACCTAAACAGACCAATTACAATTAGGGAAATTGAAATGGTAATAAAAAACCTCCCCAAAAACAAAAGCCCAGGACCTGATGGATTTACAAATGAATTCTACCAAACATTCAGAGACGAATTAGTGCCTATCCTTCACAAACTCTTCCAAAAAATTGAGAAGGAAGGGACAATACCAAACACGTTTTATGAAGCCAACATTACACTAATACCAAAACCGAACAAGGACAAACAAAAAAGGAAAACTACAGGCCAATCTCCCTAATGAACACTGATGCAAAAATCCTCAATAAAATTTTAGCTATCAGAATCCAACAATGTATCCATAAGGTAATTCACCACGACCAAGTTGGATTCATTCCAGGGGCACAAGGATGGTTTAACATCCGAAAATCAATCAACGTTATCCAACACATCAACAAAAAGAAATATAAAAACCATATGATAATATCAATAGATGCTGAGAAAGCTTTCGACAAAGTGCAACACCCATTCATGATAAAAGCCCTTGAAATTCTGGGGATACAAGGAACATACCTCAACATCATAAAGGCCATCTATGACAAGCCAACAGCCAGCATCATTCTCAATGGTGAAAAGCTGAAAGCAATTCCATTAA